GTACCTTCGTATTCAATAAAAAATGAATTTCGAAAAAGTATAAAAAATGAATTATTGAGTTGATATTATATAATATAAAATAATAGAAAAGTATAAAAAATAATTTCATTATCAATACCTTTCTTTGAAATCCACAATTTCGGGTACTTCCCCCATCATTAGCTTGGTAGCATCAAATGCGTTCACAACTTTTATGGAGCCTAAAACGACAAAAGAATTTTTTAGAGAACACTATAAATTGTATGTCAAATAAAAAAAATGAATCAACGTGAGGAATGTACCGTCCTCGAAAGCCTTTGCTCGACAACATTGGACAATGAGTACACGCAAGTTAGTCACGGGGGTTTTGTTCAAGGCATCAACAATGATTTGTACATATCCTTCTGGTGTAGAGTATTATTATTATTATTATTATTATTATTATTATTATTATTATTATTATTATTTAATAGGTGTCTTAGAGAGTAAGTTAGTAATTTAATATTATTATTTAATATTTAATAAGAGTTCTTGCCTTGTTGGACAAGTTAAGGTTTAGGGTTAGGAGCCTTATATAAAGGACTTCCTCTAGTTTATTTTGATTAGTTGATTTTGAATATGAAATAAGATTAGAGATTGTGAGTCTTGCGTGTTTTACGAGAGAGTATCTCGTTTACTCGTTCGTTTATGGTCCCACTCGTACGCTGCCCTACATCAGTTGGTATCAGAAGTCAGCACGATTCACGATGCTGTCGCGACGACAAGATGCTGCAAACGACAGGCGTGTCGCCGCCATCTACAACCTGAGCCGCCGGACCGAGTGGTTTGTCCGCCAGCTCGAGACGATGGGTCGTGAGATTGCAGATCTGTCCGCGGAGATCGGGGATATACGTCTAACTATTCGTACCATGGTTCGGGACAAGCAAACGTACCGTGACGCCGGCAACCGGGGCGTGCGCGGGGGATTTCGCGGAGGAAGTGGAGGCCGTGGTCCAAGCGGGGCGCCCCGCCGGAGATCTCCACAACCACCGTCCGGCGACGAAGACAGCGAGGAGACAATCTTGGAGGTGAATCCCTTCGACGATTTTCCACCCCCGCACGTCGAGACTGACCCCTTCACTGCATACGGCGGCCGTGACATGCGGCGACGGGGCTCGGTCTTCGTGGATGGCGACAATCAACGCGACGATAGAGGCAGGCGCGAGGAGGCTGCCTTCGCCAGCGGATATCGTGCCAGACACGATTGGGGATTTGATCGCGAATATGGTCAATGGGAGGGCCCGTTTCGCGTTGACATCTTCGAATTCGACGAAGAGCAAGTTGACGGGCCATTGTACGATGGTCCGCCGGTGTTTGATGAAGGACCCGAGGAGGTGGAGCAGTGTCTTACTGGCGAAGTGGACGGTCTCTATGACAGTCCGCCGATTTTCGATGAGGAGCCTCCGAGGGCAGAGGAATTTCATCATGTTCCGGATATCGAAATTCAGCTGTTGGAAGAATTAGTAGTTCTTCTGTTGCGCAGGCCCGAGCTTTTCTCTCACGGGAATTTGTTACGGCCTTGTATGCTGTTTTTTGGTCCCCACAGTGACTTCAAAATTCAGTGTGTGGCTACTGCATATATGCCTTTCCATGAATTTCAAGGGGGTGATACCATGGAGGTGCGATATTCAACCTTCGTGTTCGACAGGGGAAAACGTTGGGGATTAATACCATGAGTTCGCCTCCACACCAGCCACGGAAGCGCGTCGGCTTCGAGGGCGAAGCCTTCCGAACCGGGGGAGAATGGTGTAGAGTATTATTATTATTATTATTATTATTTAATAGGTGTCTTAGAGAGTAAGTTAGTAATTTAATATTATTATTTAATATTTAATAAGAGTTCTTGTCTTGTTTGGACAAGTTAAGGTTTAGGGTTAGGAGCCTTATATAAAGGACTTCCTCTAGTTTATTTTGATTAGTTGATTTTGAATATGAAATAAGATTAGAGATTGTGAGTCTTGCGTGTTTTACGAGAGAGTATCTCGTTTACTCGTTCGTTTATGGTCCCACTCGTACGCTGCCCTACATCACCTTCCCATAGTGTGCAAGTTATATGGCAACCCCTAAAAAATTATAGATAATAAATTTTCAATAACAAATAAGATCGTAATTACTTAAGTTATAAGGAAGTGATTATGATCTATAACTTACTCAACGTCTTCAAGCACAACATCTATAAACTTCTTCTCCACACCATTTGAATTTGTAGTTCGTATGCTATTGACCATCGCAATACGTCCAATCAAATCTAAAAAATAAAATAATATAAAATTAATCCTTTATATTGTAGCACAAGGGTGAGAATAATTGTATATTCATAATAAACAAAAAATTTACCAAATAGCTTGTTTGAATCAACTGTTTGTGGGTCGGACAGCTCCTTGTAATTTTTGAAGTTGAACATCAATCTCGGGTAGTTGACGTCAACTATCTCGTGCATGCTTGTGTTTTCACCAAACTTAAACTTGTGGCTTGATTCCGTTAGTTTGAATGCATTTGTGTCCTCCGTAAGTTCCCAACCACTAATCCCGTACACTTGTCCTTCAAGAAGTTTGAAATCTTTGAATATTTTCGCCAAGAAACCGGGTGCAGAACCATGAATCCGCTGCCCCTAAAATAAGAAAAAATATAGTCTTAGCAAAATATCAATGACACATTTAAAAAATAAATAAATAAATAATGAAACGTCCAGAAAAATTAGTAACACCTTAGCATCATGAAAAATGAAATCGATCTCTCTTATGCTTCTTCGGTTCGATTTGTAGAACTTGGGATAAGTTCGGACCAATCTGAGTTTTGCCGTCATTTTTTTGTTTTTTGCTAAATAGGTCAAATTATCAAACTGATTCATGCTGATTTTTGATGGAAAAAATAATTTGCTGTAATGAGGGAAATGTTTGCCCGGCAGCTAGATTAGTAGTGAATGGAATGAGTGTTAGTGAAATTCAGCAGATTATTTATATAGGAAATTTTCAATAGAGGCAATCAATAGAAATAAATTTGATTGATTGAAAAAATGGTAATCAATATAAATATATGATGACTGCCAATAATTTATAGGATTTTTATAAATCAGATTAGTATTCACAATTATTTTTTAATTATTACAGTTATTTGTCAGATTAGTATACCAAAAATAATTCAATTTTTTCAAGTTCATTATCCCGTCTCTAAATTTGTGTTATTTAAAATTAATTGGCAAGTAAAAGTGTGCTATAATCATGGATATCTTATTTTAATAATTAAGACTACATTATGATTTTCTTTGACTGCAACAAATTTGTTTGCCCTTTATTTTTTCTGATTATTATAGCACATTTACTTTTAATTATGAGAGTTATTTTTCTGATTTGTATACCAAAAATGCCAATTGTTTCAATTTCAATTTCCCGCCTAACTGTGTTTGGGAATGTATTTATCTAAAAGATGCGTATTTGATAATTATAATTAATATGTTTTTGGCATACTAAAAGTTGATATTTATCTTTTTTCTTGATTGCAGGAATTGCAACCCAAAGGAGCTTCAGTTTTTTTATTATTTATAATTTGTGTTGATGGTTTGTTGTATTTTGGGATATTTTATTTTTTATTTGTTCATCAATTTATTTAAATTTACTATGGAAACCAAAATATATGATTTAATTATAATTGGGATGAGATTAAAAATTGATTACTGATTTTTGTGCCAACTAATAAAATGTTCAAAAATAAAAAATTGGTACATTTTCAATAACTCATAATAATGGCAGGTTAAATTTGTTTCCTATTTTACACATTTATTCATCCCACAAATTGAGCTTTCCATTACAAAAAAGAAAATAAAAAACGAAAAATAAATAAAATGTAACTGAAATGGGCGGGAAATGAAAAAAGTGACAGCTAGGTATAATTTAATAGGTTTTCTTTAATGTTTTGAGCTAGTAATTATATATATATATATAGATTATGAAATAATTTCAGAACTTTCCATATTTTGAAATTAAATATTGATAGACAAGTGTTATTAATATTTAAGATTTATTTTATGAGATAAATTTAGAATATTTTATATATTTAAAGCAATATTAACATATACATAAATATTAATTTATTTTATATTAAAAGATAATTACATTTTTTTCATTTACATATGAATACGAGTGTTAAATTAAAACTAAAAGTAATTTGAGATATTATGTATATAAAAATGAGAAATACTATGGAGCCAATGGTTGGCTCCTTTATGGAGCCAACCATTGACTCCATAGCATTTCTCATATAAAAATATGTTACTTATAAACGAGTTGACTTTTTAGTTAAATGTATAACGTCAAATAGTATAAATACTTGAATTTAAAAATTACAAAAAAATAAAATAAATATAAACATATAATGCAAAATAATATTAAAAGAAATCCGGCTGACCATAGAATTTATGATATTTTCCTATATCTTATCTTTTCATATGTTACCTCTTAAATTTTGACTAGTGAAGTAGTGATATAAAGAGTTAAAGACCCCTTTCTTTAAACGGAAAGACAAAAGGAAAATCTCACGATTCCATTAAGATACATGTATATAATTTATTTTTTGTTTTTGTTTTTTTGTGATAGTATGTGGAAATTAAACAATATAGTTCTACATAAAACAATTATAATTTTTTGATGAAAAATGAAATGAAGGTGNAACTAACTCTGAACATAAATTCTGTAAGAGATGACGCAATACACGCGGCAATCATTGGTTTGGTGGACGCCCTATCGACCCGGAGTCCGGTTCAAGCTGCTGTCCGTTTCCATCTAACGGAGATTTAATTAATTCCGTCCCATTTTAACGGGAAGTGTGGTATACTTCCTCAGATTAATTAACTAACGCTCCCACAATCACATCGTCAGTGGCAATCAAGAGACTGATTATACTATACAACAACAGCCATCTTCTTTAATCATCAATTATCATCATAACTATCACTCACTCACTAAGTCACTATCACCTCTCTCTCTCTCTCTCTCACACACACGCACCAAAATTCTTTCTCTTTAGAAAATCTTCTGTCACAGATAAAAGCGCAGCTGAAAAAGCTGATAATTCTCCGAGTCACCACTACCACCACCATATCTGTACGTGGAAAATCAAAAAAAGGGGAAAAAAAATACGAATCTCACAAATCGATCTCCAATTTCTCTTTGTAATTTCATAAGAATTGTACCGTATACCGGGAAAATCAGTACGCACATGGGAAGGTACGCGAGAAAGCGCGACGGATCAGGAGAAGTGGCGGCGGCGGTCAAAAGGAGGAGGAAAACGGCATCAGGAGGATCGGAGGAATCGACATCCTCCGCTGAGCTCAAAACGCGTCGCTCAGACGCGCCGGCGTCGGAGAACGCGGCTTCGCCGGCGAATTCGTGTGACTCGAGCTGCGAGAACGTGGATATCTCCGGCAGCGCTTTAGCCTCATGCTGCTCGAGCAGCGGTTTGAGCGAGCCGGCCGAGATGAGCCCGGAGTTTGCAGATCTGGAGGTATGCGTACGAAATAATTAATTAACTATTCCAGAATTATTTAAATGAAAATTATTGGATAAACATCATTAATTTAATGCGCATTTAAGAGTTTGAATTTTTTTGAATCCCCAGAAAAATGCGGTGGCTGTGGAGTTTTGCGCGACATCATCTGAGCATACGGCGGATTTCAGAGACAGGTAGAATCTAATAGAATAATATATATATTTAAATAATTAAATAATACAATTATATCAAAAACCAATTGTGATGGATGATGATCCTATTCCTATAAGACACGTTTCTCTTCAATTCAAAATTTCAAATCTCCAAAAAAACTGAATCGGTTTATTCCCATAACCTCCGCGTTTATCTTTCTCTCTCTACACCCTTCGACTCCATGAGTGCCGGCAGTATTTATCCTTCACGGCGAAGGGAAGTTGATACGCTGCCGTATTATTTCTGCAGGGGAGAGAATTCGCCGCCGCGTGAGGCTCAAACCGAGTCGGGCGACCTGGAGTCCCCGCCACATGCGTCTGATTCCGTGGGTATTCCCACGGCGGAGATAATTCCGACGGAGGCCGAGCTCGACGAATTCTTTTCCGCCGCCGAGAAGAATATCCGGCAACAATTCATTCAGAAGTAATTAAGCTTAATTTCTCTCTTTCAATCTCTCTCTAAATGTGTTTTTTCTTTTTTTTTTTTTGCCTATTTACCTAATT